CCTTGAGTCCAAGTTCATGACCAAGTAACTGAAATTCAACAACTAAATTCCGGAATTAACAAGGCGCGTTGGTCATATCACATAATCGGCGCCACGACGTCGGGTTCTAGTGCTCGAAGTGTCCTAATGATGCCGTCTGTCAACACGTTTCCCGCTGAACGCTTCAGTAGCGATCGATTTGTGTCGGTAATAGGCCGAAATGACACACCATCTTTTGTACGGCAGGTGTGTCATTTGTTATTTTGCTCACCACAAGAAATTCCCGTAAAAGCGAAATTGGGCAATTTTTTTGAATAACTTGGGTATTTTTTGTATATTGGTCAGTCAGTATTTATTTTTGAAAAACGTGCTGAACTGGGCAAAAACGATTACAAATAACACAGTAGTTTTCGCATGTTTTGTACGTTATGTTCGCATCTCTGTTTGCTAGAATTCACTGCTCTCGTGCCAACCCTTCGACGTACTCCAGCTACACAAGACATATATGGAAAGAGCCAGCATCCAATTTCCTTACACTCGAATATATTCAATGGCGGGTAACCAGGTAACATCATGGTAAATTAGCACCCGTGACGCAAATTTCTCACGAGACTATTCATCTAGCATTAATTGGTTGAAGTGAAGATGTTTACAGCTATGTGAAGTTAATTCATAACGCGACTAACAATATACTGTATGCTATTCATACACGCACTCAATGAGCCGGTCGTACGCTCGCTCTCTGTGCCACAACACACCACGTATTCCGCTGACATCAATACATATTTCTATTGGACTTAGGGGCAAACTCACGGATACCAATACATGAGTCTTAGGTAATGAGGCATACGTATGATAAGTACCGTCGTTTCAAACTCTTATTTACATGGGCGATTAGAGCGACTGTGAAAATAATGTAAGCTCTTGTTTTGCTGAAGTAAACGTCAAACTGTTCCATAATATACATCGCTTTGCAGTACCACCCACGATATATTACAGTTACTTTTTTAAAATATTTCTGGGGATATTTCTGCGACCTGATTTTCACATTCAGAACCCGCCACTTTAAATAATCATGGCTTGATTTCAGTTTGTGTGGTCCCGATTACAATTTGTATATAATGTGGTGCCCAACACGTTAATATCTGACGATGACTTTCGGTCGCAAAAAGATGGAAGCTAACAGCAACTACTCATTATTAAAGCGGGAATTGAGTCTTAGAGCGACGATAACAACACGCGCTAAAAAACGCAAAGGCCCATGGGTAGACGCTTGTTTGTAAAGAATTACACGCTATAGCCATCTGGCGCATGCGCAGGTGACGACGTTAACGACATTTCCGGTAGTTGATAGATCACGTGTCCAATCACCCGGATCGCCGCCACAAAACCGCGATTTACGATTTGGGGTCATCACACTTTTTCAACATTCATGTAGCTAAGTAAAAAGTTGGTAATAATGGGAAATGAAATGATATAATTGCAGATGATTTAAAAATACACGTGTTTTTGCCTTAATTAAAATAAATTGCATTTATATATATAATTATAATTTAATTGAATTTGATTAAACTGTAATTTCATTCCAATAATTTATTGAAATTTAAAAATACCTTTAATTAAAATGCAATTCTAAAATATCGGGTGATTGTTTATTTCTTTCCCTACTATCCGGTATGTCATTGACAATGGTTGGTAAAACTGAGGATTCAATCTGTCAAGATTCATCCTAAATTTTGTATTCTAAAAAGCTAACATTTTTTATTTTTAAACTAAAAATTTGAATCTCGTCAGAATTTTGAATTTTTGATTCTTTTGTTTCAATATCTTGTCAAATTTGATTATACAACCACACGCTAGAGCAACTTACCACACGCGACTTCCTTAATATAATGATATTTAGGGGTATTTTTCCTAAAAATTTGGTTGTAGATATCAAATCTTCTTAAACAGGTTGTCTGCTTTTTTACAGAACTCGACGAAACGGAAGTTCTTCAAGCATTCAAACAGTTCGACAAAGACGGCAACGGATTTATCACCTCCGACGAAATTCAGTTTGCTATGAATAATTTGGGTCAACGTTTCACTGACGAAGAGCTAAACTTGATGATTCGTGGAATGGATATCGACGGCGACGGTAGAGTGAATTACTCAGAATTCTTAAGAATGTGGCGAACGTGAAAGAATTCGATTTTCTCGCCTTTTATATGAAGAGGCACGTTTTGATTTGTTCTATACGCGGAGGTTCTGTTGTATTTGACTGCTCTGGCGAGCGGGCAATGCATTTACGTGAACGACCAAAAGCGTGAGATATCTCGAGAGTATGACACCTTGTCTGCTTGTTCGTTTGTTCATTACTATTCAAAATGAAATGTTGCGCAGTTATCCGCGTCTAAGTCACAACGTCATATTATAAGGTCCGCCAATTACCGAAACCATATCTGTGGAGAACTATAAACAGTTCAAGGATAGTACGTTTCAGCTTTCGTGAGAAAAGTCTCAGTCTCGCATGTCGTGGATATGTTTAACGAACACTGAGGGCAGTTCACATCGATATCGCGGATTTTTAATGCACAGTCATATCACATCTTTGCTTGGGTCA